AAAGGGCAGTGCCCACCGCTGGGACCTGGCTTTGCTGTCCCTGTTGGTGGTGCAGGCACTCAGGACGCCATGTCAAACTCGGTAAACCAGCAATACCAAACACAGGAAAGGGTGGGGAGGATCGGTCAGCACAGCCTTCTGATTCCCCGCAGTAGCCCAACCTCGCTCAGGGTAGTGTGATTCTGGGAGCAAGTCACCAGAGGCTCCCCGCGGGCCCACTTCCCTCTGCTGTCAAGGCAGGGGCCTACAGAGGGTCCTTCAGAGTCTGTTAAATACTCCCGTCCTCTAGTGTGCCTGGAAGTTAGGGTTTCCTCAGGAGCCCAGGTAAGTTTATTAGCTCTGTCACAAGCTAGTGAGTGGCAGGGCTCCAGTCAAAACAAGCGTTCATTTGTAAGTTGGCCTTACAAGTCAGTGCCAGGCGATGAGTGGAAATACATTCTGTGGTTGTTCTGACTGTCACTTCCAGGGGAGATGTGGTAAACCAGGACGACCTGTACCAGGCACTAACCAGTGGTCAGATTGCAGCAGCAGGGCTGGACGTGACCACCCCAGAACCCCTGCCTCCAAGCCACCCACTGCTGACCCTGAAGAACTGTGGTAAGAGCTGTTTCCGGGGCAAACGCGTAGCCACCCTATGGAGTTTTGAGAATAGTCCAGGCCTGGCTATGGGGCTAGCTGAGGCAATGCTAACCCAGAGGGCCCAGCCAGGGGCCGGGAGTCTGTAGGTTGTTAGTGACTGGGGTTTAACAGGAATGTGATGCTCAGTTACGTCTCTGCCCCCATGGGATTTGTTGAAGTAAGGCTGACGTCACTCTTATAGCCACTCATGGGGCTAACTCATCACTCGGAATGGCTATTACCAGTGTATGGAAAGGTCATGACACCGCCGGTGTTTTCAGCTGGTGCCAGTTTTGAAGCTTCGAGCAGCCACCAGCTCATTGATGTGGCTGGAGAATCAGCTTTAAGTTTTCCAACATCTGGCTCACCAGCTGTCTTCTGAGGCAGAAGTCCCCTTCTCTGGCCTTAGGCATTTTAAGTCTCCCTTCTCCCTTTGTACCCAGGGCTCCAGATGCTTTTGGCTATTGGTACTTTGTCAGCAATTGCGGTGGCTAGTTTTTTGTTTTTGTTTTTTTTCTCTTTTCTTTGTCTCTTGGAGGGACTGAGCCACTGATTGCCAGGTCCTGCCCTAAGGGCTTCTGCAGGTTTTGACTGCAGCCGGAGACTGTGCCTTTAATGGGCTCCCAATGAGATGCTGGTGCTTCTGACCCTGGGAGCATTTTGAGACCCTGGCCTCAGCACTTGCCTTTCCTCCTCTGTTCAGGAAATGGTGGTGTTTCTCTAGACTCACCGAGAGGCATCAGGGCTGTGGATGTCCCCATGCCTTCTGGAGAGGAAGCCCAGACATGTTCTTGGTGCCTCTTCAGTGAAGGCTCCATTATTCCCTTGGCAATCCCCGACCCCATCCCCATGCCAGCCTGCAAGGAACACTGGCTGTGCTGTGAGGAAAAGCTGGCCCTGTCCCCGCTTCCTGCCCCCACGCAGCTCTGGGAGGCAGGCAAACTCTCACTTGCTCTGCACTGGGACCAGAGGCACCTACTGTGTTACCCAGCGTTTGATCATGGAGTTACTTCAGTTCAGAAGCCCTGTGCCACTGTTCACAAGTGTGCAGGGTGTGGTAACTGCTAGGCTCCTAAGCTGGTGCCTGGAATCACCGTCCAGACAGGCAGCAAGACTCCCTGTTGCCTACCATATTTTTAAGGGTTCAAATCTTTTGCTTGGATTTGGGTCTCAGCATTTGCTCCATTGAACCTGAAGGAATGGTGATCCTAGGAACCTAAGTCTAGGAGGGCACAGGCGGAGGGTGCAATGGTGGATCCTTTGCCCTGTTAACTGGTAGTCTGGAACCAACGCTTCCTTCTCCCTCCAGTGATCCTGCCCCACATCGGCAGTGCCACCTACAAAACTCGAAACACCATGTCCTTGCTGGCAGCTAACAACTTGCTGGCTGGCCTAAGAGGGGAGCCGATGCCCAGTGAACTCAAGCTGTAGCCAGATGGGCTTTCAAGATGGAGACATCTTGCTGGACTTTGGACTCAGGAAAGAGCCTGGTGGAAGCCTCCACTATATCGTCATGGGGGCATGGGAACTGGCAAACGGGCTTGCCAAGTCCAAGCCCAAAGTCTGTAATTCTAGCATTAAATAATTTCTGACACGGTGTCTGGGCCTGTGACTGGCGGCACTAACCAAAAGGGCATCTCTTGTGTTTGCTGACTCAGGGCACCTGGTGCTCTGCCTTGGCTCTGCTTCCCACACTGCCCTCACGGAGGAAAGACAAGGAGAACCAGAGAAACAGCACCTGAACCCAATACCAGTACCATGGTGAAAGAGCAGCCAGCAGAGGAGAGAGCTGCGGGAAAGGAGGTGGTGAGGGCAGCACTGTTTGTCAGCCATAGTGAAGGCAGAAGGATCCCCAGTTTCAAGATCTGGGTCCCTATCTACCTGTTGTTCCCTCTGCACCCCAGGGAGAAGCCTCTATTAAATCACCCTTCACTCCTCCTCCCCAAGGCCAGGCCACAAGCAAAGCCATGGCAGAACCTCCCACACAGCCTTGGCACAGGCAGGTGCCGGGGAGGGGGAGCAGGAGTAACTGCTGGACGGCAGCACTCCTATCGGAGGCTCGCTGATTTGAAGCCCACCCAGCAGCACGGCCAGTGGAGAAGAAGCACTTCCCTGTTTTGTTTCGACTTTAACCTAAGTAGAGGAGAACACATATTTAGAGGCATGAATATGGCAAATACTTTATTTCAAAGTCTGCTCTGACCAGCATTAGCACCAACAGGGTGCTCTACACGTGATACCATCTCCAGAAGATTGTATATGATTATGTCGGGCTATAATTAAGGCTAAAAAAATCAAAAGTCAGGTCCCCAGTACCGGTTAGAGTCCCAGCAGAACTCCAGGTCACAGCAACCCTGGGTCTAGCTTCCCAGGGCCCCTTGGAAATCTTGAAGTGCTACAGCATGTAGGAGGACACTGGCCTGCAAGCTTGCTTCTCACACGTAGAGACTGACTACGAGGTAGATGAGATTCCAGGTCCATCCAGCAGTGGAGAGGCGGGCCCCAAAGCAAAGTCCGTTTATATCCAAGCTGAGGTGAGGGGTAGGCTCCAAGCACCACATCCTTAAGATAGGGGGGATGTCTGCCTGTGACACTGGCTCCTCGCCCAGCAGGGCATCTCTGGTTCTCCATGCTGACCCACGACTCCCATGGGTCCCTACATTAGGATGGTAGATATAGAGACCCACCCCCATCATGTCTCGACAGGTCTGCTGACAGTAAGCGCACAGCAGTCTCTCAAGGGACGCCATTGCCTCCAGTGGTCTCTTTCCCACACACCTGCTTAGAAGGAGGGCCCAGGTTTCCACAGGGCCTTTCCTTCCTGGGACTCAGTTCAGATGGTGTGCCCTCTCAACATTACAGGTCTACCCACAGACTCACGGTCACACTAGCTTAAAGAGGAGGCGCACACTCGTTGCTTAGGAAATACAGAAATGTGGAGCTTTCTGCTCTTAAGAACTGAATCTCTCTGAATTATGGTTTGGTGTCTCTGAAGCAAGATGTATGAAAGAATAAGAATTCTTGTCCACGAATGAAATAACGAGCTACAGATATGCATGGCCCTGTGCTGTTCCCGGGGTGCACACGGGGAGCAGCGGCCCTGCCAGCAAGGCAGAGGGAGGACACAGATTCTGGACAAAGGACCGAATGCCTCTCCAAGAGCCTTGGATGTTTCTGGTGAGTTCTATGCTGTGGCTGCCTAACTCTCCCAAAGCCTGGGAAAGACTGAGCCGTGAACACTACCACATTTAGGGTTCTAATAACTAGACGCTGACCATTATAGAACCATGGTTGCTGTGGTTAGTTCAGCTGGTCCTGCCCGGAGAGAGGTTCTGTGGGGCTTGGGGGTGAGAACTAACTAAGCAGAGTAGCTGATCTCAGGTGGCGGGGCCAGCCAGACTGGATGGAGTGAAAGGCATATGTACCATGAACCCCACAAACACAGGACTCCATATTACCAGAAGGACAAGAGACACTAGCTTCCTGCTGACTTCAAACAGAACTACGGCATCAGAAGCACGTCTTTGAGAACACTGCTAACACGGCATACACAAACACCCACCATCACCCCTACAAGTACACACTCCACTTACAATTTTGTTTTGAAAATCGGAAAAAATAAAATAAAAACACCTATTCCACAGAGATGATTCAAAAGTATATACACCTGTTAGTCCAAGGGTGTGTTCCCTGGACCAGTCAGCACCATCAGAGGGCAGTGTCGGTGACTGCAACTCAGATTAAAAAAAAAAAAAAAATCCAGTCCTTTCTGAGGCCTAGGACAAGCTCAGGATCCGTTTTAAAGCATTTGTGGCAGACAGCCTTGTTCTCCAGGGTCCCTTTCTTTTCAGACAGCACCGAGTTACCTGGTTACACGTAAGTATGTTTTGCACTGCTATACAGGGATGGGATATTCCCATCAGAGGGTGTAGGAAGTTTAATTAAATGCTTCACAGGGCTTTAAAATAGTGTTAAAATGTTTTTCAAGCGCTTCCATTTCTTTTTTTTTTTTTTTTTTGTTTTTCGAGACAGGGTTTCTCTGTGGTTTTTGGAGAGGCGCTTCCATTTCTAACGTGACACTCTTAACATCAGTGACAAACCATCAGTGACAAACTGCACTCCTCAACCCTAAGCAGGAACTTGGTTCCCGTCACTTTCCCTGGTGCACACCTCCCTCAGTAGTGCTGCCGCGTAAGCGAGACACCCAACAGGTCTCTGCTCGCGTAAGCGAGACACCCAACAGGTCTCTGCTTCCTACTGGCTGAAATTCAAAGAGCTGCCGGCCAGCTGAGGCCTCACGTCCAGTGGCATTAGCGGCCTGCCAACAGTGACTTTAATTTCAGTCCAGACCTGGCCCGTGTACGCCTCACGAGCAGAGGTGGTTAGAGCAGCGTGCTGGGGAGGTTGCTGCTCTGCCAGCGCAGGCAGGTGGTCTTCGAGTGTTTGTACAGGTGGCTGGACTGACTGAACCGCTTGCCACACTTGAGGCAGGCGTACGGCTTTTCGCCCGTGTGAACTCGGATGTGCTTCTTGCAGTCTGTCAAAGTCAGAAAGGTTTTACAGCAGATTTTGCAGGCGTACTTGCGAGCCCCCTCCACCACCAAGACATTGTGCTCTGATAAGGCCTTCTTGCACTTTGACAAGACATCCGCAGAGGCCCTGGTCAGCTGCGGAGGGCCAGTCTGGGAAGGGTGGCCGTTTTCAAATGAAGTGGCCCCGTTTATCATCAGCTGGGAACTGGCAGGGTTTTCAGGGATCTGTGAGCTCCGGACAGAAGTTACGACCGGCATTTTGGGAGCTATGCGTCGGTAGTATGGAAAGTTACTGCCTCCTCCTCTTGAGGAACCCACCATTCCCCTGGAGAAGGAAGAGTGGAGACCCAAGCCAGACCTGGAAAAGTCCATCCCAAATTGTTCTCCTTGGTAGCCTGAGGTCTGCACACACGGCAGGCCCATCACCTCCTGCATAGGCCTGACAAAATGGGAGTCTGCGGGCTCACTGAATGGGTTCTCCACATGGGAACCCGGGGCCGAGGAAGGCCCACCTGCAGGCCCGGCCTCTGGACTCAACAAGTAAGGGGCCTCCCCCTCCAGCCGGCAGTCACTGGTGGTGTTTGGGATGTTGTCATCAGTGCTCTGACCTGAGCTAAAGTTACTCCCCCTGCTTTTGTTGAGAAAATTTGAAATGCTGAAAGAGGTCTTATGTTCTAGATTATTTGTGACTTCTAAGATGTGGATGTCCCCAACCCTGTCCGTACTGGACTGGGGATCCGAAAAGCTCCGGTCGCTGCTTTCAGGGCTGAGGTCTATCTTCTCGGCACTGACCACCACACCTTCCACTTCCACAGACTCGCTGCCCTCTGCCTGGGAGGTCACATCGCTCACTTCGTCCTGCGGCTCAGGAGAGCTCAGGGGCTCGGACTTGACCACCACTCTCATGTGCTCCTTCTCCCCGAGGCCGACCTCGGGGTTTTCACACTGGAAACTGCCTTTCTCGGCTACAGCTTCTTGTTCAAAACTAGTTTCATGAGTTGCACGAGAGGCCATGATGCCAGCACTTCCATCTGACTGGCTGGGCACCTGGGCATCTTCTTGGGCACCAAAAGGCCGATCAAACAGCATAGCACTGTCTTCCTGGTTGTCAGCCATCCCATCGGGTTTAGGATTGTCCACAATTTTCAGAGAGTCTGGCGAAAAGAACTCCTCCCGGGAATGAACGCCCGAAGGCCCGCTCTCTGGAGTAACATCTGAAATGGCAGCCTCATCCATGGAGGAGCGCAGGCGCTGCCGGGCCCGCTCCTCTACAGACTGCTTGCGCTTGTGAAGGCGTCTCATGGGGAAGGGTGTCCGCTGGTCCAGGTTGCTGCGCATGGATGAGCTCATGGGGGCTGGAGGCTCCTCGCCACTCTGGCTGGGGCCGAGGGCTGAGCTCACAATGCTCAGTCCCAGCTGCTGCAGCATGAAAGAGCGCTGCATGCGAGCACTCTGCTCCTGAACACGTTCGCTGGGGGGAGACATGGGCAGCGTCCTTGTTGTCAGGTAATGTTTACAGGCCTTAACAACCGAGTTCAGATGCAGGTGAGAGGCTGCCAATAAGACATCCATAACGTTGCTCTCCCCTAGCATGAGGGTGGAGGTGTACATCATGTCAATCAGCGCAGCAAAGGCCTCTGCTGTCACCACCTCACTATCGAGCTGGATCATGTTCATGGTTTGATCTCCCTCTGCCACAGAGAACAGAGCTCGGAAATGCGTGCTGCATGCCGCCAGCACGGAGCGGTGGGCTTTGAAATGCCTGTTCCCCACGACGATGACACAGTCACAGAGCTGGCCATGAAGTCTCTGGTAGTTCAACTGCTGAAAAATCTGCTCAAAGTGACCAGGAAAATCCATTGTCCTATAGGAAACACAAGGAAAAAAGTGTTAATTCCTAACGGAGCTTAACGCAGAGCCAGTATACAGACTGCAGTAAGAGCAGTGCGGGGCTGGCAAGACGGCCCAGCCAGGCAAGGTTCCTGCTGACAAACTGAGTCCCACCCCTGGGTCCCAGAGAAGCCGTGATCGGACTGCTAAACACACAGCAGGTGACCACACACACAGAGAATAAGTAAGAATGTGATTTAAGGCAACTTTAAAGCATGCTGGCCCCATTTGGAGCTTTGAAAGCTTGTGGTGTCTAATAATGGGCTTACATGTAAGAACTTGTCAACTAAGGAGCAAAAGTCAGCTCAGCTCAAGCTCCAGATCCAAGTACACACATGAGATCCCTTAGCCCTTCCTGTTAACTTGCTTAGGACACTGAGGGTCTGTTGGAAAAGACCAGTATGTGGGAGGAGGCTTATTTGCCCCACTGAAATTTGTTAGCATTCCGCATTTCCTAGAACAGCGAGTGCCAAGAAATTCCAGCAGCCTTAGCAACCTTGGTGAAAGGGCAAATCAGCAGCAGAGAGGAACTCTGGCATACAGAGGGTGGCACACGGGCACTCGCTCCCACACCACTTCCTGCAGCCTGACATCACTACAGGTACTGTTGTCCGGAGGGTTGTTGTAGTAAAGGTATAAAAGCCAGGGCTGGAGAGATGGCTCAGCAGCTAAGAGCACTGACTGCTCTTCCTAAGGCCCCAGTTCACTTCCCAGCACCCACATGGTGGCTCGCAGCCACTGTAATAACTCCAGTTCCAGGGGGCTTTGATGACCTCTTCTGGCCTCTGGGGATACTGCACATGTGGGTACACAGATGTGTGGAGGCAAACACTCTTACATGTGAAATAAAATCAAGAAAAGAAAAATCAGGGCACAGCAAAAGAAAACATACGGTGACTAGTACTGACCTGAGGCTGGGACTGGGATCCCAGTGCATGTGACAAAAATGTTAACAACTTCAATTATGGTCACAGTGGCAAAACTCACAAATTTGCTATAAGTGCATGGATTACATGCTTAATAAGATGTCTTACAGTAATACATTACAATGCAAGAAAGCCTAATAGACTGTACTTAAAAAAAAAAAACAGAAAAAGAAGAGAGGCCATGAATAGGCTTAAACCAAATGTTTTCAGGAACTGTGTACAGGGCACCTACAAAACTAACCAAAATGACTGCTTGCAATGTTGCTCGTGTTTGATAAATTTAATCTTCCCTTTGGGTGGTGTGTGCTACTATTTCTTTTTAAAAGAGATGGAAATACAGCTAAAACAGTAAAAGTACGTTCTTTCACATATTTGAAAGTTTTCAATAAAGTGAGTTAGAAGGGAAAAAGAAGGGCCCTGTGCCTTTTAATGCTGAGTCTGGACCCGGCAAACATTTGCATACTTCCTGGAATTATCTGAAATAAGAACTTGCTTATTTCCATTTAAGAAATTACATTTTCTAGGAATGCTAGCTGCCCATCTATTCCAAGTCTCCATCTCAGACCAGAGCAGAGACGTGCCCTCCCTGTGGTTAAACAAGGTTGATGATGCCAATGGGGCGCTTCTGTGCCCCTCCTGCGGCTCTACAGCTAAAGCAGGACAAGCTATTTTTCTTCTCAGTGGAGAAACTTTCTGGCTCCTAAGACAAGGGTTTAAATGAATGAATCGCTAAGCCCAGGACAGGACATGTACACAGAAGGCCTAGCATGTCCAGTACTAGAGTTGAAGGAGCCAGTAAGACAGAACTAAACTCAGGTAGAACAGACCAATGACAGACAATCTGGTACTGCTAGGAGGAAGCAGCGGCAGCAGGGATGGGCACAGGCCCTGCCTCTGCCGGCAGGGAAGGGAGTGCTGAAGGTCTGCTGGGGAAGAACACTTCATGGGAAGCTGAAGCTTTAAGTCTGCACAGTCCCTCACCTCCAGCACTCCACCTCCACCTGTTCCGAGACTAGAAGACAAGCAGCCAGGCCCATACTTTCCAAGGGGACTGCTGTTTTTACAATATAGGATAACAGAAAAGCCCACTAAAAAACTCGAGTTCCAGCAAAATACATTCATCTTCAAGGCCAACCCATCCACTCAGCTGCCACAGTAGGCTTCACTCCTACAGTGACTGTGAAGGAAGAGCACACGGCGCTGAGAGAATGGAACTCAAGCACACAATGCAGAGCACCAGGGCTGGAGAGATGGCTCACTGGCCAGCACTGGCTGCTCTTCGGAGGACACAGGGTTGATCCCACGCGGCAGCTCCCAGCTGTCTGTAGCTATGGGGGATCTGATGCCCTTTTCTGGACTCCACGGATACTGGCACACGTGTGGTACACAGACATATATGCAGATAAAATACTCATACACGTATAATGGGATAATATGATGGTGGCGGCAACGTAACAAACGGAAGAGCACAGGGAAACATCTGGAACAAACAGAAATGATATGGAGGGAAACTGAGCTTAAAAAACCTTTAATAGACTCAGATAAGATAGCACATCCATGAAATAAGAATATCTTTTGTTTTTGTTTTTTTACAATAAAGTTACAGGGTTTCTGTGTAGTCATTGCCATCCTGGAACTTGCTCTGTAGACCAGGCTGGCCTCAAACTCGGAGATTCGCCTGCCTCTGCCTTCAAGTGTTGGGATCAACAATATGCATCACCACTGCCCGGCTTTGTTTCTTTAATGATTGGGTTATTGTTATCTTATGTGTATGGTGTTTGCTGCACGTATTTCTGTGTGACACGTGCATGCCCGGTGCCTGTGGAGGCCAGAGGAGGCGACGGAGGGCATGGAACTGGAGCTGCAGGTGGTTATGAGCCTCCATACGGGGGCTGGGAATTAAACGTGGATCCTCTACAAGAGCAGCTAGTGCTCTTAACCACTAAGCCATCTCTTCAGCTTCTACCCACACCCAACACCTTTTTTTTTTTTTATATTTATAAGGAGGAATGTTCTGGAAACAAGAAAGCATATGTCTATGGTGGCACATGATTTTAATCCCAGCACTGGGGAGGCTGAAGCAGGAGTACTGAAAGTTCAAGGCAAGTCTGTAGGTGGGAGAGAAAGGAAAGGGGAAGGGAGGTGAGGAAACAAAGGGGACAAGCAGGTGGACAGAGAGAAAGAAAAAAGTACTGGGAATTTAAAAATGGCAAAAACTGTACAAATAGAGGTAGAAGAAAATCACTGAGCAAACCTCAAAGTAAGAGAAAGGAAAGCAGAACTGAACAAGGAAAAGTGAAGTAGTTCATGAAGCCTAACGCCACTTCAGAAACTCGAAGACAGAAAGGGAAATGCTTGAGGAAATCATCCAGGGGCAGGTGGCACTGCTCAGGAGGTAAGGCACTCGCTACCAAGGTTGGGGATCTGAACCAGCGCGGAGAAATGGAAACTGTAGTTGTCCTCTGAGCTACTCATGCACAAACACACACGTAGTCAATGGTATAAAACCTTAAATTTTAAAAAAAAGTCAGTTTAGGAGCCAGTGACGGGGTAGTAGTGGCAGTTCACAAAACATTAGGAATAACATTAGCGCTAGACTCTTTCAAAGAAATACTGAAGGGTATTATTCCTTCAAAATGCTTCAGAAAAATTATTTCCAACAGAGAATTCCATCTGTAGCATGAATTCTAACTGGTCTTCAGAATAAAAGTCTGAAGTCAGATATTAGGGGTAAATGCTGAAAGATCAGAGGAGCAGAGCAGCAGCCACTGAAGTTCTTACCTCTACAAAATCCTCAGATGGAAAAGGGGGCAAGATCCTGTCTCCACAAATCCTCAGAATGCTTCAAGACTGCAATGAGCTCCTCTCTCCACCCAGCCATATCTCTCCTGTCTCCACCTCCCTCGTGCTGGGATTAAAGGCACATGATCCCAAGTGCTGGGATCCCAAGTGTTGTGAACTCTGATTCTCTTTAAGACAGATTCATCTGGTGTAGCCTAGGGTGGCTTTGAACTCACAGAGATCCATCTGCCTCATTTCCCGAGTGCTGGGATTAAAGGTGTGCACCACCACCGCCTGGGCTCTCTGGCTAACTAGAGGCTTAGCTCTGCACTCTGATCTTCAGGCAAGCTTTAGTTGTTAGATTACAAGCAAAATATCACTACGTTTGATTTTTTTCCCCTCCCTCCTCTCCTCCCGGTGTTTCAAGACAGGGTTTCTCTGTAGCTATAGAACCCGTCCAGGAACTTGCCCTATAGACCAGGCTGGCCTCGAACTCAGAGATTCACCCATCTCTGCCTACCAAGTGCTGGGATTAAAGGTGTGTGCCACCACTACCAGGTTTCTATGGCTAACTGGTGGCTTAGGTTTGCACTCTGATCTTCATGCAAGCTTTATTTGTTAGACAAAGTATCACTACACCACTCCTAAACTGTTACACAATTATGATGGCAAACTAAAGCATTTTCAGAGAAGCAAGAACACAAAGGTTATCTCCTACATTTCTTGTCTCAGGAAATTACTAAAGGATGCACTTAAGCAAGCAAAAAACAAACAACAAAGGAGCAATATAGGAAACAGAGTCACTGTAATACCCTGGCAGGAAAGAAGATGTTTTAGCAAGGCACCTGCCAGACTACTGGAACAACAGACTCCGAGAATTAAATTTCCCAAGGACTCTCATGCTGGGGGAAGGAAGAAGGATGGGCCAATAAAGAGCACACTACACTCAGACCCAGGGACTGTGTAGGTATGGATTCCGCTCACCCTCTGTTTAAAGCTAACCTTGTGCCAGTAACCCTAGCATGGATTTGGAAGGTCTCGGGCCTCTTTATTTGTTCCTCTCCCCGTGTGGCCACAGCGAACACATCTCCTTTCTCTGCTTCCCACTATTACTATTCTCTTTAATTGGCTTATTGGGGACAAGTGACAGAGCCTAGCTGGTTGAGACCGCCAGATCCCCCACGCTCTGACCCTACAAATTTGGGAAACAAACACAACAGCAGACAAAGAGAAGTCTGAAAACAGAGAACGTAAACACGGCAAGCTAGGTCGTTCAGTCTGGAGCAGTTAAGTTGAAGTATTCTTCCCAAGGGAGTAAAGGAATGGATTGCTCTGTGTGGTGGAATGTCAAGAATCGAGCAGTTTCACATCATTGAAAACAAGGTACAGGTGGGGACTGGAGAGCTGGCTCAGCACTAAGAGTATTTGCTCTTCTTCCAGAGGACCCAAATTCATTTCCAGCACCCACATGGAATAGCTCACAACTGCCTGTAACTATAGCTCCAGGAAATCTGACACCCTCTTCTGACCACCTAAGGGACACACATGTATGCATAAAGTTAAAAATAAAAATAAAGTCTTTTACAAAAAGAAAATACAAGCATTTAAATTTTTTTTTTTAAATGAGGCAGTGTTCTGGGGAGAAGGCAGCTGCCCAGTAGTACACAGTGCTGCACAGCTGTGGACAGAATTCTGTAGTCACAATAATATGAACACCAGGCCGGGTGGTGGTGGCGCACGCCTTTAATCCCAGCACTTGGGAGGCAGAGGCAGGC